TGGGTTTGTTTGTCAGGAATGTCATCACCCCATGTATTATGTAGATGTTATTAAACACCCTAAGAAGATTTGAAAGGCCATGATTTGATTGATGAACTTGATTCATCCCATGCTTTGTTTTGTGCAAGTTATGATATATGTATTGTTTTGACAAGGACCTCGGGAATCATTCATTTAACCCCTTTATTACTTGTACCATTCACTGAGTATCCAAGCTCACCCTCCCTATGTATATATGTAGGTAACAAGCAAGAAGTCGGCTACGCCGAGATGTGTGTTTTGTATGAATGTTATGTCGGCAGTGAGGATGTCGGCAATCTGGAAGATTATGTTTCTTGACTTGTATTTCATGTGTTTTGTCCATGTCGGCTCGAGAAGCCTTTTATCAAGATGTAATGTGTATTTTTGTACTTCATTTTTAATTGTATTCAAGTTGTAAAGCTATGTAAAGTTGTATGCCATTCCATTTGACTTATGCACTGCTCTTACGGACTAGCTAGATTTGTATATATTGCTTCCGCACTTGTTAGCCCCATATGTAATACTCTGATTGTGTGTGAATTTTGAAAGTTGGCCTTCGGTAATCTCGGATTACTGGCCATCACGGCACCATACTACTAGGGGCGGTTTGGGGTCGTGATAGGCTAAATGTATACACGTATGCGAAGCCATTTTTTCTGTAACATTTTCCATCTATTATTTGTGGATTTGTTGTGTTGGGGTTCAATTTTGAATTGAAATGAGTTTACAAAGTTCTACATTAGCATGTTGTTTAGACATGGTGATTTTGTTGTTTTTGAATGTTGTTAACATCAATTCAATGTGGTTACTGAAGAAATAGTGTGATTTTGTTATTTTGGTGTAAATGTGGGTAGTTAAATTGTGGGTAACATCAATTTGGCTTTGGCAATCTGAATGTGGGTAACATATGTTTATTGTGGCTGTTGATGAACATCAGTTAAATATGGGTAACATCAATGTGGTTGATTTGAGGGATTAATGTAACTGCGATATGTTCAATCTCTCAAAAATATACATTGTGTAACTTATCTTTCTAGCACATAAGAAATAATAAATAACCATAATAAAACCAAGAGTGCAACCGTAAACCCACATGCCAATGAATATATATATATATATATATTAAAGCGACCTTACCAAAATGAATGTGATTAATTAGTCTATATGAAAATCCTTAGGATTAAATGGATCACTATTCCTCAAAATAGGATTTATCGATAAATTCTCCTTACATTAAACAAAATGTGGAGACCAAACAATTAAGAAATTGGAAACAATTAATAACTTGCTTAATTGTTGATAAACAATTAAGTAATGTAAAAAATTTGAAAAACAAAATCAATCAAATTAAAAAATCAAATAATTTTATAATATTTATACTAAATTATAAGCTTCCTAATAAAATGCTATATCAAAAATATAAAAATAAAATAAAATCTTATCCTACATCAAACTCATATGTGCATGGGTTTTGTAGATACTTTGTAAAAACTCATTGATTTCAAACTAGAAAATTTGTGCTATCTTACCTGCTAAATAAAAAGATAATTAAAATACTTCAATCGCTTGTTCCTATAGGGTTTGAAGTAGAAAACAAAGAAGACAAGATAATTAGAGGATGGAAGAGGAAAGGGTGCTAGGAGTAGCGGTAGAGGGGACTACAAGGTTAGGAATGGGGTGGAGGAGGTGAGTCGGGGTGTGTTGAGGTGGGGAGGGTAGGGAAATGGGATGGTTGTAGACGGTGGGTGAGGAAGCGTAGGAGGGTTGGGAGAAAGATAGTTGTAACAATTGATTGCAATAATAGTAGTAGTATGTTGTAAATGAACTCAGGTTAAGTTTAATATTATTTAAAATTTTAATATTATTATTTAATATTAGTTGTAACAATTGATTGCAATAAGAGAGTATTTTAATATTATTTAAAATTTAATAGTGTAGACAAAAAATAAATTAAATATTAATGGGAACTTAAAATTAAACTCTCTAACCACTCTATTGAGGCAGGACAAAAGTGACCACTTAATTTGGAGCCGCACATATTGAACAATAATATATTGGATTAAGGTGGGGTTTGGCAGGTGGGTTGATGAGTGAAAATAGTGTAAGAGTTGAAAAAATAGTTAAAAAATATGCAAACAAAAAGTGGTGCAGAAGGTTTGCAACAGGCCCACATGAGTATGGCAGCACTGTTCAGGTGCGCGAAAAGACGATTTTATCCTTTTTGAAAGTCACACCAATACTCAATTATTAAGAGTAATTTTGTCATTTCTCATCAGAACATTATTTCAGAAGCTTGGCTTGGTATTTCCATCATATCTGAGAGTGACATATCATCTCTATTATTTTGCGTGTCAATCTACAATTAATTGATTGGTGTTAGGTGTCACTGTTTCGGTGTCTAAGAATCAATCAGTCAATAATTTAGGTCAAGTTTGGGAAGACTAAATAAGTGCACTTTTTGACTTTTATTAAATTATGTGTAAAAAAAATAGAGAGGAGATGCTGATTGATGTGACTCAAAAAAGATAAAAAGATAAAAAGTATGGACTAAAAAGTCTAGCCAAACTTGGCCTTAGTAGGAGACAGTTCGCATCAGAGGGATGTCCAGCTCTCGCAAGAATTTTATGGGAGTCATCTTCCCGGATGATCTTTGAAAACTACCAACTGAAATTTGCAGTTCAGATCCCACACTACATACTTTCTAATTTGAATATTTTTGCCACAAAAAATATACCAACACCTAACATTAACAGCTTATATACTGAAGATTAGGTTTGATTAACTTCAGTGGTTTTTATTTTTTTATTTATAATTTTAAGTTGTTTGTTAACACTACGGAAATTCTATTGTATACATTCTCAGAGAGGTATGTATCATATACACCTTATTATATATTTTTATGATAAATATTATATATTTTTTTGGTAAGAGTTACGACAATTTGAAATTACAATTATACATTTGTAAGATTGTTACGCATTTTGTGATAATATTACACATTTTTTTATCTAAACATTTTCTAACTATGAAAATGCGTAACTTTATTTCTCAATCATAAATTATTATAACTCTCATCATAAAAATATGTAACACTTATCACAAAAATACATAACTCACCACAAAAAATATATAATAAAATACATATAGTACACGCTACTTTAAAGATGTGTACGATAATAATTCTTATAACTCATACTAAACAATATCAGCTTTTTTTTTTTTTTTTTACTAAAATGAAATTTGGTATAAACTGTTAGAGTACAAAGTGTAATTTACCCTTAATAAAACCAATGAAGGTGTAAGAAATAAAGCTACTATTTTTTTGCCACTTAGGGCTTTTTGGGAAAATTTTTTTTTTAAAATTAAAAAAAAAAAAAAAAAAAACTTTAGGATTATTTTGGAAATATGTTTTTGTCAAAAAAATCGCTAAAAAACTTCAAGGTTATTTTAGAAACTAATTCTTTTAGTTGATTTTTTAATTTTTTTAAAAAAATATATAGAAAAATAAAGAGAATAAGTGACTTTTTAACCATTTGACTAAAATAATATATTGTCAAAAAGTCATATAAAAAAGTCAAATATTTTTCTTTTAACTTTTTTTTTACACTTTTTCGTAAAAAAATTAAAAAGTCAATCTCAAACAGTTTTTTAACTCATATTTGAGCCAAAAAAAGCCATTAAAAATTCACTTTCAAACCAACCCCACAATTACCATTAATGCATTTGGTAAAATAATAATTCGTAATATTTATAAGCTTATATTTTATTTTTATAATTTCAGTGACAAAATACGTTTGAAATAAGAAAACAAATGTCATCCAATCCTCAATCTAGACTGGAAGATGTTGTTTGGACTCGTGAAGTGAGGTCCTGTTTCCACGATCTACACCGTTTATTTTTTCCGGCATTTTGTGTATTTCATTCACATAAAAAATTAAACCAATTTGATAATCGTGGACTATTCAATTGCATATGTTACCAAAAACAATTGATGGATTATTTTTAAAAACACAATTGTCGTCAATTTTTTTGTGACAAACGTGATAAATTAAAAAAGTTATAATTATCGGATCAACTTAATTTTTTTCGTGTGAATAAAATACATGACCTACCAAACAAAATGATGGTTCGGATAATGAAAACGGAACCCATGATGGGCCCCATAGATCCAAACAGCCCTCCCTAGTCCACATCATGGACCAAAGGGAATTTCTTACTTGGATTAAATAATTTAAGAACTTAATAGATTTAACTGAAGTGGATTTTAATTTATAAATTTAAGAATTTAGTATACTAAATTAATAAATTAAGGATTAATTAGATAATTTGATAATAATTTAAAATATAAAATGAAATTAACCCTTCTTTTATTTATTGAGGGAATTACATCCCACTGAGACAGAATTTTTTTTTTTTTTTTTCCACAAACATGAGGGGTGCAAAAGTCACCGCAGAGAGTAAATAGGCCATGGTTCTAAATTGCAGTATTGGAACATGTAATGGTATCGATCGCAGAATATCCGTATTGGGAGTATCAGATGATACATACCGGGAATCGGTCGGAGCAGTTGTAAAATTTTAAAACTAATTAACAGGATGTAACAGAGATGTACCACCCTCTAATGGGATATCACGACCCATATCGGGATGTAGCGGTTCATCGTACCGGTTATGATCCGACACGTAACGGGAATCGGCCGATACGGCTATGAAATCGAGACACACCGCAATATCAGGATGTAATGGTATGGGAGCCTTGAAAACTCGTTTTGTACCGGCCGATATTTAGAACTATGAAATAGGCTGTGTGTAGAGGAAGATAATGGAGGATATTAGTTTTTTTCTAATTCTTGCACGTGCCATCGTTGTCGTACTTCCAGAAAATTATAGAAAGTTCTTGCCAAGGTGATGTTATATCTCTGTCTTGAAGTGGAATTTTTTCCCTCTATTTTTATTTTGTTGATGTTTCTTGTGTTTTGAATGGCAGACAAATGATGCACTAAGAGACGGTGATAGGGTGATTGGAACATTCATATTACATATGCATACATATATAATTATAATTATTGCTGATCAAAAAATTATTATAATTATATATAAAAGAGCCTACCATCATGTCTCCACTTGCCTTACGCAACCTAATAAGCCCCAAAATACAGATTTTTGATGTTGAGTTATTTTCTTCTTTAAATTCAAGAGAAAAGTGAACAACTCTCTGGGCTTTGGTTGTGGAGCTGTAATCTATCATAAGTAAGCTTAGAATCTGATTTTCCGTAAAGCTTTATCAAGATATTTTTGGTTTTCTGTTATGGGTTTTGGTTGTACTGAATTAGGTTCATAGATTCATTTAACATTTTCTGGTTTTAGGTGTTTGTTTGGGTGCTTAAGATATGTCAATTGCAAACCCTGGAAAAATTTCACGTTTTCTCCAAGGTGGTTTATGAACACCTCATGGAAACTTCGAATTTTGAGAGGTGTTCTTGGTGACTTGTTAAAATTTTCAGCTTTAATAGTAGAATTTCCATAGTCACAAGGCATATATAGATAGAATCACTAGCTTTTAGCTCTTAAGAGTAGTGGGGATGTTTGATGGCGGCATGATAATGCCCTTTAATTGTTCACTAAAATATCCACCAATGTTTGTTGGTAATGTAAATAAGAATAAACCCCTTTACAGAACAAGATTTAATCCATCTATGGCTATAAATCTCTCTTCAATACTGCTACAATCTGATGAGGGTGAAAAATTACCCCAATCTAAGAAGATTTCAAGATGTCACACTTCTAATCCTCTCCTTACCCAAGCAAATACTGTTGGAATCATTGGTGGAGTTTCTGTTTTCTCAACTCTAATTTTCTTGGAAAAGCTTGTTTGGTTTAGTTCAAGGGATGGACAACAAAGCATTCCTTTCGTTGTTTGTAGTGATCCGGCAATAAGCAGAGATCTTTTATTTTGTGGCTCATTTCCTCACGTCAATGGAAAAGACGCTCAATTTCGCTTGAACTGTAGAACAATAGTTGAGAATTTGAGGGATAAAAGGGCATTTCTAGAGCAGTCTGGAGCTCGTTGCATTGTTATGCCGTGTCATGTGTCTCACGCTTGGCTTGTTGAGCTATCCACCGGGTGTTCTGTACCGTTCCATAATTTAGGTGATTGTGTTGCCATGGAGCTGAAAGAAGCTAAGTTGAAGCCTCTTGAAACCGGGAGTAATGTGAGGATCGGGGTACTCACTGCAAATGGCACTTTAGTTGCTGGTTTTTATCAGGAGAAACTACAGAATCAGGTATTTGATTTGGGTAAAAATATTTCAGTGTAAGATTACGTATGAATGTACATCTGTACTTCCATATGTTGTGTAGAAATGCATGTATTGGCTGAGTTCTTGATGAAGATTTTAAGTAAGCCTAACTTTAAGTGGATATCATCCTCTAATTTTTATGAAGGCTTATCTACATCATTGCATATGACCTCTGTGTTTTAGAGAACAAGAGTTTTTGCATCCCAAAATGATGGGTTAGTGAGTTTATTCATATGGTTATGCACTTTGAATAATAATCCATTTTTTGAAAGATTTTTGTAGTCATGCTTTGGTGTGTTTTTGAGATCCTATAAGATGGACCGCGTTTGTTGGTACATTTGAGAAATTAAACATTTCACAATTAGTAATTAGTTGATACAGTTGGCCAATTGGCATAGACTTGATAGGAAGCATGTATCGTAATTTAATGATATGCAAACATAAAATGGGGCAACTCAACTAAGAAGAATTATAGTTCAAGTGCAACAAAATTTGAAGCTGCTCTTACGTTTGATCTGCAAGCTTTAGCTATGTTCAGAGAGAAAATATTCCGATTCCCCCATTCAGAAGCATTTGTGGCTGAAAATAAACAGTCTCATGCCAGGCCTCGTCTCGTGTGATCCCCTTTGTGAGGAGGCACCCCTTCTCCTGAACCTAGAAGCTATTTTGCCACAATATTTATTATTGATGTTTTTTTCTTTGAATTTTTGCTCAATAGCTATTATATTAAGCTTTGCAGTTAGTTTTGCTCCCTTGGCTCACTAACAGAGAACCTCCATTAATTCTTTTAAACTTGAATCAATCAAACAACAAAATTTAGAAGCATATAAAATATCTTGTCTCAACTTTGTTACATCCTCGGTTCAAAAAAAAAATAAAAAATAAAAAATAAAAAAAATACTTCATCACATCCATTATGATTATAGATACTTTACCTTTTGGATGTACTGAAAATCTTAAAGCCCTAGTGATTTATGTTTTGAAACGCTCATTCTGAAACTTAGTATACTTTTGTTCCAAAATAGTAAATTTAACGATTCAAAGCTATACAAATTTTTTTTTTCCTATGTGTATTTTTAAAAGTTTTCCTTACAAGGAAAGAAAATCAAATATGATGCAATAAAAATATAGATTTAAGTTTAGGAATGACAACAATAAACAACAATGGGCATAATGCATGTAGAAGTGTGTTTTTAGATGATTAATTTCAAGAATACTTAACTATATTTTATTGAATGTCTAGTTATTAAATTTTGATAGTCTACCTATACAAGTCTATCTTTACCATATCACGGTTTTTAGCATGTGGCGCCCACATTCCCATTTCTATTCCCATTCCTAATGCCAAAACAAGGCGTTTTAGGTAACATAGCTAACGTACGTTAGGCTATGCACATCAAATTTTAAAGTTTGCTTTGAATTGTATGCTTAATGCAACTAAAATTACACAATTGGAACTCTGCAGGGCTTTGAGGTTGTGTTGCCCGACAAAGCAACTATGGAGCATATTGTAATTCCTGCAATTGAAGCATTGAATAGGAAGGACACGGAAGGGGCAAAGAATCTTTTAACAATCGCGATTCACATTCTTCTGGTTAGGGCAGTGAACTATGTCATCCTTGCTTCTGATGAATTTCAAGGTCTTTGGCCTCACGATGATCCTCTTCTTAAGAAATGTATTGACCCCATGGATGCTTTGGCCAGATTCACTATAAATTGGGCACAATCTACTGAAAAGTTACAAAAGCAGACTTCGAAATAAAGTTCATTATTTCAGCCATAGTAACAGTAATGTTTGTAGTGAAAAATCTTGAATCCCTCTTGTCCTATATTGTTGTGCCGATGAAGTTTTGTTAGCAAAACTACACAAGAAATCAACCATTAGACATGATTTGATGAATTCTATGACCGAGCTTAAAGCATATCATTTTATTGATAGCAGAATCAAATACAAAAACTGGAAAGAGTTTATTGATAAGATTGAATTGCTCTATATATTCTAGTCAAGCTGGCTTGAATTACATGTAGGTAAAATAGCTTACATATTGAACCACAAACATCTTTAATGTTGATTAATTGATGCGGATTACCCATTAATCAGAGCATCTCCAACGGTGTACCAAATGTTTCACCAAATCTGAGTTAAAAAGGGGTAATTTCTTTAATTTGATACTTCGCGCTCCAACGGTTCAACATCAAATCCGTTTCATCAAATTTGTGCTGGGCAACCGGTTGGTTGACCGGCCGGTTGACCGACCGGCCGGTTGATCGGCCGGTCAACCGGTAACGGCAAAAATTTTTTTTTTTTTTTTTACCGGTTTTAACCTTTTTTTTTTTGAACTTTTTGAACTTTTGGTGGTCGACCGGGTGGTCGACCACCTAGGCAAAATTATTTTTTTTTTTTTTTTGACTGGTTTGAACCTTTTTGTGAACGGTCTGAACTTTCTCCGGGGCGACCGGTTGGTTAACCGGTTGGTCAACCGGATGGTCGACCCGTTCGTCTCATCCCAACGGTTAGGAACAGTGATTTGGTGAAATGCTTCGCCTGCACTCAGTTTGGTACCATTTTTGCTGAATGCTGGATTTGATATCGATTTGGTGAAAACGTTGGAGCTTAAAAAAGTGGCTTTTTCACCAAATTTTAAATTTTATGCCAGGTTTGGTTCACCGTTGGAGATGGTCTCAGTAATCATTTTTGGTGTTAAGAACACATTCTCGTATGCTTCATTCTCAAATGCTTCGACATGCCTGTCCCAAATCACAGTACATCACTTTATGTGTACTTGGTACATCAAATCTCTTTAGTTCTGCTATGTTCAGTATCTGGATTGACTTGTAATATTTCAGTTATTTGTTTCATGTAATCATTGCTATCCACCTTACCAAACCAAACCAAGCCTTCAGTCTCATCAAATAGGGTCGGCTACACGAATCCTTTTTCTCCACTTAACTCTATTCAAGGTCATTTCGTTAGTCAAATTAAATAGATTTATATATCTATTTATTACACTAGTCCACATCAATCTAGGTATACCCCTTCTCCTAACACTACCATCTCCCATCACTGTATCGCATCTCTTCACTATTGTCTCTGTTGTATATGACCAAACAATCTCAATCTATTCTCTCTTAACTTATCTTCTATCGGTATTATTCTCACACATTCTCAAATATACTCATTCTTAACTCTGTCTTTTCTAGTCTTGCCACACATCCACTTTAGCATCTTCATCCCAACAACACTCACTACAAGAAAAGTGGGTTTATGAGACGGAACTATTTGCGCCGGCACAATTGCCGTCTCAAAAAGTCACTTTTTGCGACGACAAAAAATGCCGTCTCAAAAAAGCTGAGTATTTGCGACGGCACCATTTACCGTCTCAAAAAAGCAGAGAATTTGCGACGGCACTATTTGCCGTCTCAAAAAATGAGAGTATTTGCGATGGGATTTCATCTCAAAAAAGAAGAGTATTTGCGACAGGATTTTCTACCGTCGCAAATGCTCTGCTTTTTTGAGACGGCAAATGGTGTCATCGCAAATACTCTGCTTTTTTGCGACGACATTTTCTGCCGTCGCAAAAAGTGACTTTCGTGTTTTTTTTTTTTTAGTGAATATTTTTAAAATTTTAAATATTTTTTTTAGATGTACCTTACTTAGATGTATCTAAAAAATAAAAAATTTATGAAAAAATATTTTTAAAAATTAATAAATACATAAAAATACAAAAAAAAAAGTATTGAATTATTGTATATATTTTTTTTTTTGTATTTTTGGTATTTAGTGAATTTTTAAAATATTTTTTTATAACTTTTTAAATTTTTAGGTGTATTTATGTTAGATGTGTCTAAAAATTAAAAAAAATACTTAAAATATTAAAAAAATTCAATAAAAACAATATAGCACGGAAAACAAGAAAGTATAATTTTCTCAAAAGAGTTTTTGGAAAACTCTAACCTAGCATAGTGATTGTGGTTTTGAGATAGCTTCATATATATACGGTCACAAAATGGTTTGAATAAATTCAACGGTATTTTTCTGTCGCAAAAAAAAATTAAAAAAAACAATGTCGTCTTACTCTTTTGATATAGCATTTCTCTTTTCATTCATTTTTTCATCTTCCTGTCTCTCTGTCTCTATCTCTCTCTTCTCTTTATCTCTTTCACTCATCACTCTTCTTTCTCTGTCTGTCTGTTTCTCTCTCTTATTTTCTCTCTGTGTCTCTCGCCTATCTCTCTTCTCTCTATCTCTCTCACCTGTTTTCTCTCTCTGTCTCTCTCGTTCATCTCACTTCTCTCTATCTCTCTCATTTCTTTTCTCTCTCTTTCTCTTATCTTTCTATCTCTCTCTATCTCTCTCGTCTATTTCTCTTCTCTCTTTGTCTCTCTCTTTTTCTGTGTGTCTCTCTCTCTCGCTCATCTCTTGTTTCTCTCTCTCTTTTTCTATCTCTTCCTCTATCTCTCTCTCTATCTCTTTTTTTGTCTATCTCTCTCTCCCTGTCTCTCTCTCACTCATCACTCTTCTCTCTCTCATCACTCTCTCTGTCTACTTGTCTATTTGTCTATTTATCCCTCACTATGTTCGCCTTGCTCACTCTCTTACTCTCATCTTCTCTATTTATCGAGCTCCTTCTCGATTTATCGATCCACTATAAGAAAATACACTTCTAGCAACCACTTTGTCTCTCTCTCTCTCTCGCTCATCACTCTATCTTTGTCTCTCTCTCTCTATCTCTCTTCTTTATCTGTCTCTCACAAAATTAAAATATTTAAAAAGTTGATTTGAATTAAGCTTTGAAAAGAGTTTTGAATTATGTATTTGGTTATAAGTTTCGAAAAGTAATGATTATATTTTGAATTGAGTTTTGAAAAATGGATGTAGAATTATGATTTGAAAGCTCAAAACAAACACCATACTTAAATCAATGGATGGAACTATGACCACTACCACTCTCTCTGTCTCTTTTTTTTTCTATGTCTCTCTCATTAATCTCTTTTCTATATCTTTTAGTTTATCTCTTGCTCATCTCTTGTTTCTCTCTCTTTTTATGTCTATCTCTCTCTCTATCTCTTTCTCTCTCCATCTATCTCTCTCTCTCACTCATTACTCTTCTCTCTCTCTATCTTCCTGTCTCTCTCTCTCTCTCTCTCTCTCTCCCCCACTGTGTTCGCCTTGCTCACTCTCTCCCTTATCTCTTCTTTATTTATTGAGCTCCCTTTCGATTTATCGATCCACTACAAGAAAATGTACTTTTAGCAACCACTTTGTGTCTTTCTCGCTCATCACTCTGTCTCTTTCTCTGTCTCTCTATGTCTTTTCTATATTCGTCTCTCACTCATCTCTCTCTCTCACCGCCCATCTTCTCTACCACATTTACCACTACTGCAAATGCCATTCAACTACCACCACTCTTCTCTTTCTCTCTTTCACTTATCACTCTTCTTTCTCCATCTGTTTGTCTCTCTGTCTGTTTGTCTATCTGTCTGTGTGTCTTTCGTTCATCTTTCTTCTCTCTATCTCTCTCATTTGTCTTCTCTCTCTGTCTCTCTCGCTCATCTCTCTTCTCTATATCTCTCATCTCTTTTCTCTCTCTGTCTCTCTCACTCATCTCTTTTTTCTCTCTCTCTGTCTCTCTCGCTTATCTCTCTTCTCTCTATCTCTCTATTTTTTTATTCTCTCTCTCGTTCATCTTTTTTTCGCTCTCTTTCTCTCTATCTCTTTCTCTCTTTGTCTGTTTGTCTCTCTCTCTCTCTCTCTTTGCCTCTCTCTCTCTTTCTCACTTATCACTCTTAATAGAAAATATTTTCATTAAAATATTATCCTTACTTCTACCAAATAAAAAATAATAATAATAATTTTTCATTGATTAAAATAAAAATAAAACAAATAAATTCTCAACCTTAGTACGAAAAGAAAATGAAAATTATTATTTATTTTTTTTATTATTTAAATATTCATTTATGATGAAAATGATTATTATTATTTTTTTTCCCAATCCCGCCTGCTCGGTTCCCCATTTGTTTCCATTCCCGCGCCCCCCAAAATTCCCAATCTCTTAGAACCAAAATCCCTAATTTCTACCAGATCTCTCTCTCTCTCTCTCTCTCTCTCTTTTGCGCGACTGTGAATGAAGGAATCCAGACATCGACGACCATTGTTGGAGTCCTTAGCTTCTCTATCGATAGCCATTACCAGCAAACGAAGTTCTTCGAAGTCCTTAGCTTCTCTCTCCGGCCGTGACTAGCAAACTAAGCAAACAGAGCTCTCACCTCTCCCTTTGACCGGAGCTCTTGCACCTTTCCTTTCCACCACCCAATTTCAGGTACATGTACAGTACTGGATTCATATAGATGAAATTTTAGGGAATAAAAAGCTGAAACTTTTATCCATAATTCATTTCATTTCCACTATACCTGTAATAAATCTCTGTTTAATGGACTAGTCAAGAATCATGTCTAGGTAGTTAATTTTGAATTGCTAGCATCTAACTGTTAATTTTCTCTTAACTAATAAGGAGTTTTGCTCTATGGGCCACCCAGTACTAGGAAAACGCTTTTGGCGAGGGCAGTGGCTCATCATACTGATTGCACCTTTATAAGGGTTTCTGGCTCTGAGTTGGTTCAAAAGTATATTGGCGCGGGCTCTCGAATGGTGAGAGAACTTTTTTTTATGGCCAGGTTTGTCTGATATCTTTCATTGGCAACATTGTTGTTGCAAAATATGTGCAATATCTCATATATTGGGATACTGAACTATGTTAGCCTGGAAAATGTTATAGAGTTCCTATAAGTCTCTGATTTCTTATTGGTTGATGTTTCACAAAGAACATGCTCCATCAATCATCTTTATGGATGAAATCGACACTATTGGATCAACTCGAATGGAATCTAGATTTGGCAATGGTGATAGTGAAGTGCAACGGACCATGTTGGAGCTTCTCAATCAACTGGATAGATTTGAAGCATCTAACAAAATCAAAGTACTGATTCCCTACTTGTGTGCATTGGTGAAATTGTTCACTAGATTAAAACTTGCCCCTTCATATAAATAATTTGATCACAAGACAACTACTTTTCACAGGTTTTGATGGCTACAAATCGCATTGACATTTTGGATCAAGCCCTTCTGAGGCCTGGAAGGATTGACAGGAAGATAGAGTTCCCAACTCCCAATGTTTCTATTCATCATAACTCCTACATATGTCCTTGGGACATATTTTAATTTTAATATCTTGGTCGTATAGCCATTACCTATTAATGCACATTTCAGGTTGTATTTTATTTCTGGTAGATTTACTTTGTTTGGTTCTACATATTATTTTTTGATTGGTTGTTCTACATTTTTTCCTTTTGGGTTTTCTTTTTTCTTTTTTGAATTGAAGGCGGAGCCGAAGGAAAAATTGTCTAGGATGTAGGTGAAAGACCCAAATGCCATCTTTGTTTTTAAGTTCATCTCTCTCTCTCTCTCTCACACACACACACACTCACACATACGCGCGCGCGCACACACACGCACAATGTATTTGTTTGTTGGAGGTTTCACCCTTGCTGCTATATACCCATCATGTTCCCATAACAAGGTGTTAGTTGAGCTCACTTGTCTTGATTTACTATTTTTTCATATGTAGTCATGCTTGATATAGGTCGTGTTACTATTTCTCTTAATTGATGTTTAATGAGACAGCAAAAGCATATCTAATCACTGTTTCAGATACTGGCATACATAATGGAAGGCTTTGCTTTATTTTTATTCATTCCATTATTATGAGGTTGGATGGATGACTAACAATTTCTATGTTAGTGCATTTGGCAAGTCACTAACAATTTCATTACAAGATTTATTCTATATGACTAATATATTGGTTAACATAAGTTGGTTTCTGAGCTAGAAGCAAGAGGTTTGATGCAGAAATCTTATAAGAAATGCTTCCATTGAGACCCAAAGTTGTTATTCACTTAATTTGATGTGTGTGATGTCTGTCAAAAATTGAATACAATGGTAAACCAGGAATGTCCTTGTTTAGCAAATATCTTAATCCTTTCCATATGTTTTCATCTAATTCCTTAATATTCATAGCACTCTTTGTATCTCATATTAGTAACTTTGCATCCTTGTTCTCATCTTCATCATAGTCATCGTCATCTGTAAATTAATGCACTGCAAGGAATTTTTGACATCCTGGTACTTTGAGTGTTTCCTATCCTGTCTTCAGATTCATGGGCATGAGAAGTAGTCTTCCTTTTTAGGTAATTTTTTTTTTTTTTTTTTTTGGTGTGTGGCTCTTTTGGCTATTTTTTAACTTCCCAAACTTACCCTGAATATGACTGGCATTTGTGCTCTCCTGTTGCATGAGGTGGATATTTAAATCTTAACAAGTAAATTTCTGTTTTGACGTTGACCTAATTTCACCAATTGGGCCACATGCCACTAGTTCTATGACTCATGCTTTGTTGGTTTCTATGTGAGCACTGAAGAATGCATGTAGTTTTAGATATTCTGCTGTAGCCTGTACATGATTTGTTTTGTCTATGGGCTTTGAGAAAAATATTTGGTTTCGTCATTGATCTTCTACTCCCCTAACTGCTAATTATATCCGGATTGCGAATCATATATCATTTATGTTCAATTTTACAATTAAGCAAATTTGCAAAATCCTTTCAGATTCTGTGTTGGGGTGAATTTGCCTGAAAATATAATATGTGTGATTGATCCATACGAGTCATAGGCTTAATGATGCATCTCATTTTATTGTTCATGTTATTTCTTTTTTCAGGTTGATCTGCTCAGAGGTCAGAAATCAGATAAAGTTGATGTCACATTACAACCAGAAGAGTTGGAAGTAATGAACAATGTCTTGCATGCAAAGTAAGTCCGAGTCCTCATAGTTTGTTTAGTGTCAGTATCAGTATCAGTACATTAGCTACAAGGTGCTTAATTCATATTTATTTTGCATTTCACAGGTATGAGGAAGCAAGGAGGAGGAGAAGCTGCGTAGTCAGCGGGAGGATTTCAGTGACATGGTTGCCGAGGTGTGCATCTCTCACAATCTTTCTGATTTTGTACTTGTTTTAATTAGTATTTATGGACACTTTTGTTCTGATGAGGGGGGATTTTTCAGAATGAGAAGAAGAGGAAACGGAAAATGCAGGAAAAGGATGGAAAATCGAAGAAAACGGATTTCAAGTTCTAAGATGTGCTACTGGTTTTGTGATCGGAATGTTAGAATGCTAGATCCATTATGCTTTTCTTAGGCACCTCTAAATTTTTATCATTCGGAATCATAATTGTTGTGTGTCCATTGCCAAAAATGTAGTCACATTCCATGGCACCAAACACAACCTTGGTGTTATGGGTTTGGTTAATGAGAAATTTGTTGGTGATTTTATAACAGGGATAAATTTTAATTTGCTCGAGGTAAATTCAAATGGTAGTCCAACATCTATATTTTATTGGCTAAAATATTGAGTCCTATCATTTTATTTTATTTTATTTTTTTTTGTCTCCTATAAAGAGACAATCTGATACGTGTCATGATTTATGTAATGTGAACACTGCTTATATTTGTAGAGAGAAGTGGGATCGAAGGGAGAGAATTGAATAAAAAAACAAGAGAGATGATAAAATTGAATAATAATAATAATAATAAAAAGAAAAACTCTTCTGCATGGATAAATTTGAAAAGTACCTATTTTTTATTTTTTTTTTTTTTTTTTTAAGATGGCAACACACACACCGTCTCAAAAAGAAAAATAGAACCAGGGTTTTTTGTGATGGCAATAATGCTGTCACAAAAGATAGGGCATTTGGTTGAAAATGAAGTTTTTTAGCGACGGTGTCATTTGTCGTCGCCAATAGTACTTTAGCGACGACATCAAGTGCTGTCTTAAATAACCCTTTAGCGACGGTATTTGTGCAGTCGCAAATAACCCTTTTAACGACGGCAACACAGTGCCGTCTAAAAAAAACTCAGATTTTCATGCGTTAATGGCGACAGAATTTTTTCGTCGCAAAAAGGAATTTTTGCCGTCGCCTTTTTTTTGCGACGGCGTTGTACCATCGCTAAAACCCTTTTGCAACCCCCTTTGTTGCGACCCCCCACTTGCCATCGCAAAAGGCCAGGTACCGTCGCAAAAAACCTTTTGAGACGGTGTTTTGAGTATTTGCGATGGCATTTTACCGTCGCAAAAAAGTAATTTTTTTGTAGTGACTCATCTTATTTACATATTTCTTAGTTGCCCAACATTACGTTCCATACAACATCACTGGTCGAATAGCCGTTCTATAAAACTTCCCATACAACACCCATCTTATCATTGCTATCCACCTTCATGAAAATAAAATAGTACCTTCATGAAAATAAAGTAGTAATTCGACAAGCAAAGGAAACAATTTTTCGAGGCTTCCTTTGCAAGATTTTCAATTCAATAACATTTATTTTCCACGAATTACTGTTGCCGGTTTCATCGGCTATATTTCTTTTTATATTTTCCTTTAATCGCAATTTTATCTCCAAAATTGATGAGTGTATTAACTTGGCATTCATGTTACATTTGTAGCTAGTACTTTAGCTTTTATTAACCTTGGCAAGGCCTCCACTCCATACCATGAGACTCTGACTCTGTTTAGAGCTTCTTGTAAGTATTAGCAGCATAGAAATCCAAGTTTTGTCATTTGATTGAACTCTAAGGCTGTGTTTGGATCATGAATATGGGTAGAGATTTGAAAAGGTAAAGGGATATTTCATTCACATTTTCTCTTTTTCTTTCTAAATTCTTACCCAAATTTATGGTCTGGTGGATGCTACTTTCTTACCGAGCCTTAAGCCTATGTTTGAATGTCAATGGGATGGATTTAGGAGAACCGTGGCATCCTCAAAAAATTTAAAAATGATGTATATTATACTAATAATTAGTAAGACAATTTTAAATTAGAATCATTTGCACCCCAAACTTTTTTTTTTTTGTTTGCACCCTCAAAATTATAAAGATTTGCAATCCTATGTTATTTACATTACAAAATTTTAAAAATAGTTTCCAAATCGAGTTTTATTAAATATTGATCTATTCTATTTCTTATCAATGTTATTTATTATATTTCTGTATTGTTTAAAGTTACTTATATTCTTCTATTTGTTTTTAGTTGTTACTATTATTGTTTCCTGTTCGTTCATATGTCATATATGCTTTTTTTTCCCTTCTATAAATCATACTTTAATTTGTTTATGTACCTTATTTTGTATCCATTCATGTTTGTTCATTCTCTTGAAATGAAAATATTGTCTACATTCAACATGTCATTCTTAAAATTGAGTTCAAAAAATCTAATACCGTTTATTGAAACAAAGTATCATTTTATTCCTAAAAACATACATTTCAAGTGGGAAATTTTTCAAAATTAATTTGCGTAATAGGATGTTAGTTAATTTTTAATAAGTTATTTGATCACATTTATTGAGAAAAATATTACTTAAGGTTTTGATATTGAACCTATCATTGATGTTTTTATATATACCACAAAAACTGGTGATTATATGTCCAATTATATTTTTGTCCTCAATTATGCGGTACTGAATGTTCGATTAATAGTAATATTGTTTACATTTTTGTGCTTGTATAAATTAAAATTTTAAATTTTTATAATAATTTTTTGATAAAAAGTTAGGTGTATTTTTTTCTCCCAAAATTTGAATCTTGAATCCGTTCCTGTATGTCATGCTTCACATTGCAAATTCCTTTCTTGTATTGATTAAAAAAAAATGCTCGTATCTCATATGCATCATATTTCTTTATTAAAAAAATAATAAAAATAAAGAGAAATTTATTAGAAAATCATTTTTCAAGTGTTTGTATCCCAATTAGTCCATAAGATATTCTTATATTCTAATAGGTCCTATTATTTGGACATTTGATCTACTAAATCCTAATTCTCATATTTAAGGTATTTTATAGACATTTCTACCCTTACAAATATTTTTTGAATGGTTAGCAATTTGGTGATGTGAACATTTATATTTTACAATATGAATATTCACATTGACGTGTAAATGTTCACATTGACGGTGTGAATATTCACATTGATGGTGTGAACATTCATATCACGGAACATGCACACTGTAAATGTAAATATTATTAGAGGTATTTTAGTAACTATATCACCCATAAGACTTATTGAAACGTAAGAAAATAATGTTGACTAAATAGAACATAAGTGGGTGAAAAGAG